TGAGGTTCTCGCGGGATTTCCGCGGCGCGCTGCCCACCCGCCCTGCCCGGGACAGGAGCCTGCGGCAGCCCGGGGAGGCGTGGGGCGGTTCGGAGCTGTCTCCCCTGAGAACGCGGGCGAGGAGCCCTCTTCGGCCCGCTTCTCGCCGGTGGGAGGGGGAGAGCCCGCGCGCCTCGGGGCTGCTGTGGCGGTGTGAGGGCAGCGGGGCCCGTGTGGCGCCCGGCGGGTTGGAGCTCTGAGGTCTGGCTCTGGAGACCCTGGCCAGCTCTCTTTCGACTCCCTCAGCCTCCGTGGGAGTCTGGCAGCCCGGAGGGAGCTCGCTCCCCTCCGAAGGTCAGTGTAGACGGGGCTGCTTCGCGTGTCCTCTCGTTACTAAAGCCGTCTGAGAAATGGCTTCTTCCTTAAACAAGAGCTCTTGAAGCCTCGGGAACGCGGCCGTGGTGAGGCCGGGTCATCCTGAACCCAATTGTGCGGGTGTGCTAAAGTCTCTGGAATTAGCTTCGTTTAAGGAGCTGGAAAAGGGGAATCCTCCTCCAGACTGCGTTTCTAAGTGGGTAAACTGTAAGTCAGCGAAATTATCAACCCGTCCCCCGTTGTCTTTGGTTATGAAGGATGTGAGTGAGAAACGGCTGTTTTCGTAAACTGCTTTGGTTAGAAATCCCATTTCTTCTGTTCCTGTGACCCGTAGCTGCTACTCCCAGGTAACTTGGATGAGTTCAAACAGTTGAAACATGACACACCCTTATTTTATTCGGCCTAGTGAGGCTGGATTGTGTCGTCTGCATGTATGGTATCTGCTACTTAATTTGTATTTACTCTGGTTGGCAAATCTTTTTGAGAAAATGCTGTAGACACACTATATAGTTGATGTTACTGTGGTTCTGTGGCAGTCTTGTCTTCTCTCTGCTTCTCTTTATATGCTTTTGGTTATTTCCTGCAGGAAGGGAAGAAAGCTCATCTGTGGCAATGACAGATCCTTCAGAGATCAACTTGTTTGACCTTCCTGATTACGAGAATACAGAAGATGAAACGTTCCCACCTCTTCCTCCTCCTGCCTCTCCAGGAAGAGATGATGTTGAATGGGCTCAAGCTAATGGAGGTGAACACCTGCGACCTCTAAAGATCCTGTTTTGCAGGATAGACAGTGAAATGCTGTAAAATCAATATTATTGCTGTTGTACTTTACTACCTTGAGTTTACTCCATAAAAATAGTTTTGTGTAGATAAGAAAGCACTTCATAAATTTAAATTGTTATTGATGCTGTGCTTCCAAGTTCCAAGCTTGTGGGAAAAGTTTATTTTTGTAGATTCCATGAAAATATGTACATAAATGAATCTTTATAAATAAATTCAAGCTCTCTGACAAAGTGTTAGTGAAGATAATTATACAGTGCTGATCTATAGTTACCCTTTGTGACTTGGATTTCAGAAGAGGTAAGAGTGGTGAGTGTAGTATTCCAGAGAGATGTTGCTAGATTTTGTACAGCGTATGATCTAGGGAAAATCCAAGACACTTCAGGACAGTAAAACCTAATTATTTGTATCTGAAAAGATCTTACTGTATACCGAACAAGCTAAAAGAAAGTATGAAGATTTTATTTTGACTGTTGTTTCTACTCATGTTTGTTTGCAGTGTTAAATGTATGTTTTCCTAGATCTCTGCTGTGTATTTTCACTAGAAAATAGGATTTTGGATAGATTTAATTCCTTGATATGTGAAAAGAGGGAACTTCTGAATTCCTGTCAGTAAAGTAAATCAAGAAGTCAGTATAACTAATTGCTAGCTTTGAGATGAGATGGACAGTGCTGCCTTGTCTGTTGCAGTCGAATAATGTATACTGGCCTGAATCAAAAAGTGTATGGACTTTGGTTCTTAAAAGCCACATGGATTGTGGTCACACATCACCTCCTTGTTTTTTGATCGTGGTGATGGTGGTCTTTCAGATCTATTAGTGGAAATATTGGGACACACCTATCAAATTATGTTTATTGATAATTTGAGTTTCTTAACTTTTAGAAGCAGCACATTGTCTTAATACATTTCTCACCAGAAATATAACATAAAAGTTATAAATTAAGAGTTTTCTCTTTTAAGGAACCTACTTTGCTAGAAAAGTTGATTCCTCAGTATATTTGAAAGGATAGATTTATTTCCAGTCTGTCTTGTGGAAGAAGCAAGGTGAAATATGCAGGCATTTGGAGCGCTATACCTGCATTGGAATACTTGTGACACTACCTTTTTAATAGGGTAGAAACTTTAAATTTGTATGATGCAATTCTAGGTGATGTCAGTTGCAATATATGCTTAAAGTATGTTATTTTCTTTATTAGAACCAGATGGAAACCAGCAGTCACAAACAAAGGATTCTGCTGTAGCTACACGGAAGTCACTTAAAAGACCAATACCTAAACTAGATGCCCAGAGGTAATTTTTTACAGAATATTTCTTTCTGTGATTAATTTGGTATCTTGCTGTGGGAGAATGATTACAGTGATCCGTTCTCGGTCGTAGTCAAGTCAAAGATCAAGAGTTCTGGAAATGAAAGTGCCTCTTGCATGTTGAACTCGTTTTTATTCCTTGCCTACCTATATATTGCTATTACTTGTCTGACTTTCTTGAAGTCTCCTTGGGACTTAGTACATGAGTAATATTTTGTTAAAAGATACTATACACAGGACTTTTCCAGCTGGATCTTCTTTATTTTGCTTCAGACATAATACTACAGATTTCTTTATTTAATTCAAAATAAAACCTCAGTATAATGGTGACTGTAAGGCAATACCTGAATTACACTTAAGTACAAACTGGATAAGCTCTGTATAAAGGACTTCGATATTTTCTTTGCTGTTACCACTAAATCTGGTGTAAGTTCTTTATAACCAATGGAAAGAAACTGAGCTTTCGGTTTCTTCCATTTTAAATATCTTGATGAAGTTAGTGATACCACAGGTGAATGCTCTGGTCATGCATCTAACTAGTTTTACTGGCCAGTATAGACACTAGAACTGACCATTTGATTTTCTTTTAGTGTAATCAAAGACGAAAAGCTACTTGGACTTGGAATACATGTATGGTAAAATAAAAAATAAAAAAAAAAAGGCTTGTGTCTTGCAGCAGTATTTATCCTGTTTTGTGCATTTTCTTAATGACTTGTAATTCTGTACATGTCTCAAATAGAGCTCTGTAGTTTTGGGCTATTTACAGGAAAGTGAGGGGGTTTTGTTCATGTGCTAGGAGCTTTTTTTGGGTTTTCTGTTTGTGGGTTTTTTTGTTAATTAGAAGAAAGCATGGGTTTCAAGTAAGTTCTCCCATTTCCTGTTACCAGGTTAATTTCAGAAAGAGGACTTCCGGCTCTAAGACACATGTTTGACAATGTAAAATTCAAGGGTAAAGGACATGAGGTAAGACACGGTGGGGTTTTGTTTTGTTTCCTGGGAGGTCTATCTAGATTTGCTAGATTGCACCCATCTGATATGGGGAGAATTGATTTTTACACTCTGCTTAGCCAGCTTTCTGGCAGTATTTGAATGTATCATGATGGGGTTTGTAGTTGCAAATTTAAAAAAACCCAACCAAACAAACATGAATATTTTGGCAAAATCCATGTTTTGATCTTAAAACTTTTTCTCTGCTCCAGAACTAGAATATCACATCTGTAACTGTTGTATGTAGAAAGAGGTTTATTGAAATTGGAGCAGACTAATATGACTGTCCTCTGTCTGGAATGCTTTTATCATCTTATTTCATGTTCGGTTTCCTCCATTAAAGTATTCTGGCTGTTGTGACACTTCTATCCCAAAGTTGTTAATATTGAAGAAGGTGTGACATACCACTTAAGCAATGAGAAAGCAGTATTTTCTCTACAAACTGTTTGATTGTATTGGATATGCTTAAACATACAAAGCTTATTTTTCCTTAAATGTCATTAGAGTCTTGACACACTTGCAGGGACCCCTGTGCACCTCTGGTTTACATTCATGGTATGTTTTTCTTTACAACTAGAGGCACAATGAAACTATGTAATACTGTTGATCTGAGCAAAAAAATCTTTACTAGATAAAGCTATTTAGATGTATGTTTTTCTGTGTGTTCTAAGCATCAAAATAAATGACAGCTGTGCCCCTATGGATATTTATTTATTTATTTATTTATTTATTTATTTTGGTCTGGGTTCAGACCTAGATTGTTTAAGGGCAACTTCTCAGAAGCCTGTCAGGTGTTCACAGTATATGCAAACACTCTTCCTGAACTTGGATCGCTATTCTCACAGCTTGAAATTGCACTTACAGACTTGGTTGTGGGAGGAAAGGTTACCCATGCATTCATAGTACTTAAATTTTCAAAATACTTTCAAGCTGCAGATGCTTAATGTTTCCAGAAATGTTGCTGTCCCATTTCCCTCTGCACCCTACTGACTTCGTCATCTCTAGGCGGAGGACCTGAAAACACTCATACAACATATGGAACACTGGGCTCATAGACTATTTCCAAAATTGCAATTTGAGGATTTTGTTGACCGAGTCGAGTCTTTGGGAAGCAAAAAGGAAGTTCAGGTACATATTGCTCCTGTCAGTTTCTCTTCATGCGGTACTGAATAGTGTCAGATAGGTTTGGGAGAGCAATTATGTAACAAAAGAAGACTAAAGTTGTGCATACTGCTAAGGAGTATATTGTTTAATTTCTCTCTTTTTAAAAATAGATTTTTCCAGTATTTAAGTTTACTTTTGAATTGGCACTTCAGAGAATTGGCTTTGACTTTTACAGGACAACTTTAACCAAAGTAATTTGCTTGAGTGCTGGAACTGGTTGGGTTTTGGGGTTTTGGTTTTTTTAATATTTGAACCTGCAAAAGACGACTTGCAAAGAATGCTGCTGCATCTGGCTAGGTGGTAGAAGAAGAACTAGGAAGACAAACCACAGCATTAAAAGTTGTGGTCCAGACATGTAGTGAAAGAGGTATTATTTCACAGTAATAAAGTGTAAAGAGAAATAGGGAGTAGTATTTAAAACAGCAGTGTTGCACAAAAGATTTTGTTACAGATGAAACATCAAGTATGTTAATCTCTCATTTGCAGACCTGCCTAAAGCGGATTAGACTTGATCTTCCTATTTTACATGAAGACTTTGCAAGTAACGAAGGTATGCTTGTTATGCTGTTCAGTAGTTCAGTGCTTAAAATTACTTTATTTTGCATCCTACTGACCAGAAATTAATTATCCTGATAGGTTGTTCTAATGTAGAAGAAATTGTTTAGTGGTCCTCTAGTTTAAAACCAAGTTTCAGTGAGATTTAGGATTACAAAACTGAATTGGTACTTAGACTAAAATGTTACATACAGATAGATATATATAGATCTCTCTCTCTCTCTCTCTCTCTCTCTTTATATATATATATATATATATAGATATATATATAAAAAATCAAAAGTGCATGGTATACTGAAGGTATATAGAAAATACGTATTATTACCAGCATTGTTAGAAATATTATTCAAAACAAACCCCCAAAACTGCAATTATTATGTGAACATACTGGTTTGTATTGTACTCCTAGGAGTGTGCTGTCTGAAGAGCTCTTGGATCTTAATGCAGAAAAAAGACTCATTATAGTGTTTATAATCCAGGCTGTTACAGTGCAGTCAGTGTGTCCTCGACAAGGAAAACACTTACTGATCCTTGCAGGCACTGTTATGTCTGTCTGTCAGTCTTGTCACATAGCTACTGTTGAGTCTTCTTCCAGTATCAAAATCCAGCTACTCAAGAAGTGGATAATTCAAGGTTCTCTTCCAATCAGATGATGTTTTTAGACTAGAAATAAACAACTTTTTCATAAAAAGAGGAGCAGAGTTTACCTGGTAGTTTGAAAGAAACTTTATTAGCATAAGAATTTCATAGTTGTTCTTAAGGTCCTTTGCAGGTGTTCACACTTTAACTGTGAGTCTCTCTTGACACAATTATCTACCCATTGTCCAGTTTGTCTCCAGGTGAACCTTAGCCTGTGCTTGGAAAAGGTGTTCTGGTGGCTGAGTTAACCCGCAATAAAACCTTGCTTCACCTGTGGGGATGACCTTTGAGCAGTTAATGACATGTGGCTGTCTTCACTCTTGGCTGCATTTGCTAGAAATGGAATGCAGCCGTAAGCAGCCACAAAGAGTAAAGCAAATGGTTCCTGCCGACAGTGTCTGTAGAGTTATCAGATTTTTCTGTGCGATGGTTCCATACATTTGTTTTTAAATGTGGTGCTGATCTGTTCGTGAACTGTGTTAGTGAGTGTACTGCTACAGCTGGTCAGTCTTCAGTTGAAAAACTTGAGTAGGTATCTTAGTTGATAAATAAAAACTCCAGCTCTAGAGTATTAAAACCCAAAACCTCGTTGTCAGCTAACTTCTCTATTCACAGGCTTAAGGTGGTGCAGAGGCACAAGCGTATTTGGCCTTAGGTACTCTTTAAAGAGTGTTCTGCTGCTCTGTTGGTGGGTGAACTTTGTCTAACAGAGGTATATAACAGGTGTATACAGGGTATTTTGCATGTTTTAATGGTGGCAAATGAGTAAATATTCTGTAATAGCACATGGAATTCAAAACTGATTATCCAGTGTCTGAACCTCTGTATGATTCCTGTAACTAGTCCTGCCACTTCCCAAAGGCCAGTGTCCCATTAGTGGGGGTGGGAAGACAATTACCTGGCTTTCAGTAAGGATTGCCTGAATTTCTGGTCTCTTTAACCTTCAAGCACGGCTCATGATTGCTAACTTAGTATACAGAGCTCTACCTAAATCAGGCATTTATTATTGTGTGTTTGGATCTGTGATAAGTATTTGTTCTATGCTGTATCAGGTGTGTGGACCTAGGCAGAAAATTACTCATTAAAATTAAATTACAGAAAGATCTTCAGCTGTCCACACTACTTTAAAATGTAGAATATGGAAATGCTGTTAAAGTTCTTGACAGGTATTCAGCAGTACATCTCTTGGGCTGAACGTGTTGACTTCTGCCCTTCCTCCCCCTCCCACCCCATCATTTTTAACTAGATGGTGAAAGGAAAAGCAATGGACTGGATACAGCCACTGAAGATGTACATTCCTGCTCTGGAAATGCAGAAGAACTCAATTCTCTGCCTGCTACAACTGCTACAACTCTCACAGAAGAGCAACAACAGAGAATCAAGAAGAACAGGCAGTTGGCCTTGGAACGCAGGCAAGCAAAGATGCAGTGGAACAGCCAGTCACAACACAATGGTAATTAACTCTGTAACTTAAGCATTAATGTCAGTAACTTAAGGTCAGTAGCCTGAGAGGCTTATACAGCTGAGGCAATAGGAAATAGTAGTGATTGCTTTCTAGTAGGTAGCAAAAGGTGTAACAAATTTAAACTGTGCTCCTGTAGTTAGACTCCTCCAAAGCTAAGTCAGAACTCCTCTCCCTGATTGTCATGCCGAGTTGAGATAGCTTTGTCTTTGATGAAAAGAAACTCAACTTGCTGGTCATTTCTGGAGTTGGCTTTCCTGCAGACTGTGACTGGTGATAGAAACTGCAGTTAAACAAGCAGCAATAGTGTGTTCTCATGGCAGGAAATTGTTTTTGGTTTGTTTTCATCAGAACTCTCTGCTAGTTACTCAGAAGAGGAGTTTAATACCACAGTTGCTCAGGATCCTGCTGACATTATCAAAGACGCTCAAGTTACCGCAACCAGGGTTGGTGTTCCGGAAGCTGAAGCTGAAGATACAGAATTGGAATATGCCAGTGAAAACCAGTAGCCATTGCCCATACTTGGAATCCTTCCTTTACTGAAAGAACCCACTACTTTAAGTACTATCTCACTATGCTGCAGTGTTGCTGGCTCTGCACTCTGACGCTAGAAGCTTCCTGGAAGTCTTCCCGGTGACCTGTATAGAGTTGGACAGAACTCTTGGAACTGCAGATGAGCAACTTTCTCCACTGGAAAACAGAAATTCTCTATCTGCATTTGAGACATCTTTTCCATCTCCCCCAACATTCTTTAGGAAATGTTAATGAGTTTTGAATTTTGCTTACAATTGATGGCAAACTCTGTTAACTGGGATATTAACAGGTAAAGTTTCTATTAAAGTTGTGTTGTTTGGGTTTTTTAAATAGAGGGTATATATAATGGTGGGTAGTGCTGTGTCTGAAAAGGTATCCTGGATTTTTTTAACTTATCAAGTACCTCTCTCTTATAAAATTGAAGCTATTAATTTCAGCAGTCTGGTTTTCAGGTTTTTTTCAGGTTTTTCTGTTAAAACTACAGGCCCTCTAACCCCCCCTCCCTTGTGCTAGTCAGACATCTCTTTGCAGACAAGTACATCCCCTTAGAGGAACATGCTCTGGTTTTGACCAAATTAGTTCCCTTCCTTTAGCTGATTTGTTTCTGGCTTGAGGTTCTGCTTCATCCTCTTCTCTCACTCTTGCTTTTCCTTGCACAATTGCTTTTCCCTTCTATGGAACAAAGAAGAATCACCTGAAGAGTGAAGCCCTGAGCCTGCCCTCTTCAGTAGCACAGGGTAGACAATGCAATCCAGACAAACTGGATTTCTAGAAGCAGAAGGAAGAGCAGCACTTACAGCAGATGAAATAAGTTGATGTCAGCAGGTGTGATTTTATGCCAGAGGTGCAGCTGGGAGATTTCAGCAAAATCTGTACTCTAGTGTGAAGGAGGTCGCTTTTTTAATATCCTTGAAACTATGAGTTAAACTCACTATAGTGGAAGATAGCCAACAGCTGTAGGAAGTACTTAGCTTCTAAGAATTTAATTTATGGACAACATGGGGATAGTTAAAATGATAGTTAAAAGAATTCACCACACTGCTTAGTCTGGAATATGAGATTTATCATGTATAAAATCTTTTTAACTCATACACTTTCATAATCAGATAAAAATAATTCTTATTTAAAATAGACATTTAGTTTCATATTAAAACTACTCTCAAATATTTAAATAGGCTGCTTTTTTTAAAAAACACCACTTAATCATACCATGTGGATAGGAGCAGAACATCAACAAGCAGATGTTACTAGGTTATAGTTCAAGTTCTGATGTCAGCTGAAACATCTAACAGGGCCAAATCCCTGATCTCCTCCAGCAGCTGGTACAAGCTGGCTCCCTTGGTCTGGCAGTACTCCTGGTAGTCTTCAGCAACAACTTCAACTCTTGCTTTTTCTTGGGCACGCTGGGCTGCTTCTGCAGACTGACTGACTTCTTTTACCAAGTCAGATTTTACCACATGAAGATTCTTCTGGGAAACCTCTGTATCTGAAGTCTGGTATGGTGCATTCCTGATTATTTCAAGTTTGATGGTGTCAGTGTGGCAGCGGGAAGTCTGCACAAGTATTTTCACCTTTAAAAGCAATATAAAAATTATGTTATTCCTCATGGTGCTATTTCCTTTTTCTTCCTTCAGATTAAATACTCACTGTAATATGATCGAAAAGGCTTAATGTAACTGATTCTCCAGTTGTTGTAGTGGAAGTAATTTTACTCTGAAAGCGATGAAGTGATCCAGGCTTCCACTCACAGCTCCTGTCATCTTGACAAGAGAGAATTAAGCCTTCTTTGTTCTTCATATATGCAGCACCTTTGATTCCGTATCTACAAAAAAAAGCAGATGAGCAGACAGAAGCTGTTCTAACACTTTTAACCCTTAGCAGTTTTCTTAATTTTGAAAGTAACAGCACCATAAAGGGGCAAACACTACTAGCCCAATAATCCTCCTTCAGGGACAGGGATGTGCATCGTTAAAGAGACCCCCAGAGTACACAAACAGCATGAAGACATTAACACAAATGTTCTGAAAGCAGGGAAGTGAAAGCAAAATGGAGTCAATGATCTCTTATTTTACATGTTGGATGGAGCCTGGAATGGCTGGATGATAGAAGACAAGCAAGTTATTACAGGTTATTCCAGACAGCGCAATGAGGAAATGGTGCTCCAGTAAAAAAAGTTATGTAAAGACCAGCAGTGTACTGGGTTCTCTGGGAGGAAGGCTGGCGTGGTTGGGTAGGTTCTGGCTCTCCAGTCATGCAACCAAGCCAATCCATCTGGAATGCTGGAGAGAGGCAGCCTACACTGAGCTGGTTTAGATCCAAGCTCAGTCTGGGGCCAGGATCAAGCAGCCCTGGGCTGTATTCATGTAATGGTTTGCTTTACCTAACAGCCCTGTAGAACATCTTTTAGATTTTGTTCCTTTATAAAAAAGGAGAGTTCTTATGCCTACATTTCTTGTACCTGTTAGCTTGGCAGGTAGAGTGTTGCTACCAGTGATGCACAAACATGGAGATTAACTAATCCAGAACAGTCAGAGCCAGTAAAGGGAGGGAAGGCAGCTCTCTTTTCCCACCTCAAAGCACTGGCCAGGGCTTACAGAAGGCACTGCGCTCCAGTTCTATACTGACTACTTACTGCCTTACATCACTCACAATTCAATTTATACCATAAGCAGAACACATCTAGTATACTTGAAAATACAGATTCAAAAGCTCAGAAATCAAAATGTAATGTTAGCTTCACACAAAGAGTTGCTTTCTACTAGCATAAATCAGGTTGATCTTAGAAAGAGGCAATTCACAGGAGCCAAACTGCCATAAACGCCACATAAACTAGTCTGTAGTGAAGGAAAAGAGCACCAAGGAACACATGGCTTTGTGATTTGGAAAATTGCTTTCTATGTTTTTTTTAAAAAGCGGGGGGGGAGGGGGCGATATTCCAGTTATTGTTCTGCCCTAGCAACTGCTTGGCCAAAAAATGTCCTTTTAATGTTTTGAAATACATATTGTGCAGTGTAGCCTTACTATTTCCTCCTGGGAACTCCTTTTCAGAAGCAATGCACAGAAAAGCACTGCTCATAATTTACAATAAAAATCTAAAATGCAATCATCAGTCAACACCAGGCCACACTAAACACTTCCTTTCTCAAGCAGTCTATGACGCTTCGGTCTTATTTTTAGGCTCAGTCCAAGCTCTGATCAACTCACCTTGGTACAAAAACAAGTACACCGTTGGTTCGAATTGAGTAAATAACACCATCTGCTATGCAGCGCTCATCCGTTTCTGGGGTTTTGTCTTTGAAGTACATGCACTGGAAGAGTTCAGTGGACTGTTTCTGAGCACGCTGTGCTGCCTACAAGCATCCCCCACAAAAAGAGAAGACAAAACTACCTAAATAAAGCTTGTTCGGCTTTGATTTCCATAGTTTCTTTTTCCCATTACTTACTCCTATACTCATCCTCTAGAAAAATTACCTCTAAAAGGAAATCCTACAGATAGTACAGGTGAAGTGTGAAGTGACTTTTACTGATATTTAAGTAAAAAACCCCCAAAGCATTATAAATAAATAAAAATGAGTGATACTATGTTGACATAGTACCCAAAAGCCGCAGTCATAAGAGGCATCCCATGCTGCTGGGCAGTGTACAAACACATGGAGATGCCCACAACCACCACCTTACCCGGTTTCTGTTATTGATGTGCCTGCACAATTCCTGAAGATCCTTATTACTGAATACATTATCCTTAACATCTCCTTTAGTTTCATTCAGAGTTGCTGCCATCAAGAGTCTATGGACAACAATATCAGCATATCTTCTAATCGGAGAAGTGAAATGGGTGTACTTCTCTAAGGCAAGTCCTACAAATGAAAAAGGAAGCGGTGGTAAGCAAACAAAGCAGTCTGCCTCCTGCCCAACAGTTCAGAAATAAAACCAGGAATAGCATAAAAAAAATAAAGTGACTAGATACCATAATGATGGAACTCTTCCTCAGGACAAGAGCCAGTTGAGAAGTACAGTGCGTTAGACATGGCGTGAGTGGCCATAGATCGCAACAGTTTATTTACAACTGGATCCAGTGGGTCATTTGCTTTATCCAGAGACTCAGCCAATGCTTTGTTAGACCTGTCAAATTTTAAGTGTTATTTCTGAAGAAAATTAGGCCATCTCGGATCATAATAACTTATATTTAAAAGTAGCATAGAAAAGCATATGAAAATTAATAGTACTGATAGAAAAATATGAATGATGAGCAGGATATTAAAACTTTCAACACAGTTTAATAACAGCTCTGCTATAGAAAAATGTATAGAAAAAAGACAGTTTTCACCAACAGGCCTGTCTGTTGCAACCTGGAAAACCAAGAAGGACTGGGCAAAACCCCATTCTATGCTGCACAAAACAGTGAGCTGGTCCAAATCCTGTACAGAAGAGCACAGAAGTGACAAGATGACATCCAAGTAAAAGGAGACACTACTGATTCCCTTCACACTCTGTGCTGTCCAGAAATGAGGCTTCCCCGTGTGATGAAGCTCACAGCCTTCTCATATTGATAAAATAATTCTGATTTATTCTGAGTAATTTAAAGTGACTGTATCACACAGTATTAACTTGATTTAAACGAGTACTTTCTTTCACTACTTACAGGAAATATGGTGCAAACAAGATTATTACAGAGCTTAACCACTACACAGTGACTGAACAAATCCTTCTTGGATATGTCTAAAATTATTCAGATACCGGCATTTTCAGTGCAGCCAGCGGAACGCAGGCAGCATCTCCTGCTTAGAACATTGATCTCCCGCTCACAGAAAGGTTATGGTAAAATCTTTTTTAAGAATTGCTATGCAGTGTCTATTAACACTGATGTTCAGAACCATAATGTTTTCTAATGGTAACACAGCCAAATAGTTAATTGCTTAACTTTAAAGATAGTAAGGTAAGTAATAAAAGATACCGTGTGTCTATTGAGAAACCTTTGGCACTGGCACATTCTCGAAGTTCAGTAAAAAATTCCTGTCGTGGTGGAGGGTGTTGACGCAACAAAGCTTGATGGGGAAAATTTTCTGAAATTTTTTTTGCCACCCAGTGGTTGGCAAGAATCATACATTCTGCTACAGTCTCATGCACCTCCAGCGGCTGCTTGGGGATGAGGTCATGGATATTACGTTGATCATCCAGTTGCACTCGGATTTCTACCCCTTCCAGTTCCAGAGCACCACAGCTGTCCCGCTTAGCTCTAATGTGTCGTGCTATATCGGTGAGTTTTGATATTGCCCAAACCAGTTCAGCCAACTTCTTCTGTCTAGTTCTTTCATCCAAGTCTTTCAGTTCCAGGATATCACCAACACAACTCGTGTCTCCATCTAACAAGCCCTGTGCTGCTTCGTAAACTAGCTTGTATGCAGAGCGAATGATGGTTTTGTTGTAGGAGACTCTCAGCATTTCATACGATTCTTTTTCTAGTTCCCACAAGACACTTACAGCATACCTTAAAGATAAGATCACAATTCTATAAATACATCTCGTTGACTTAAGCTATCATTTCAAGCACATCCAACTGTTACAAATTTACAAGTTTTATTCTGTTTTTTTCACTGGAAGCATCTTCATGAAACAAACCAGTACTCAACAATACCATTAACACACTTCCTTTTCACTTTCATGTATCAAAACTTATTACACGAGGACCACCAATGTCAGCAGTATTTTCAATCCCCTGTTGAGGCAGAGCACCCCCAAGATATAAGGCCACATCTATTTTAAAGGATGC